AGAAGATAAGCCTTCATGGGAAGGGGCTGAGGAAGGCAGCTCACACAAGGGCTTTTTAAAACAAAAACTGTGTCTCGTAGTGGGTGGATAGATAGGGATGGATATGGATGGATGGATGGATGGATGGACAGAGATGGATGGACAGGGATGGATGGACAGGGATGGATGGATGGATGGACGGACGGATGGATGGATGGATGGATGGACGGACAGGGATGGACAGGGATGGATGGATGGATGGATGGATGGATGGATGGATGGATGGACGGACGGACGGACGGACGCTTGGATGGACACATGGATAGATGGATGGATAATTGGGCAGTTAAGCCTTCTTTCCAAAGCACAGGTTCATCAATAATCCCAGGCTGGTTTGGGCTCAGCCATATCTGATTTGGCTGCATTGTCCAGTCCATCTCTGAGCTGAGCCAGCGATTCTCTTTGCTCCCAGGATTATCCCGTTTGTCCGTCCCGTGCGCTACGAAGACGTGCAGCAGAAAGTGAAAACGGCCTTTGGGCAGCCCCTGGACCTCCACTACATGAACAACGAGGTACTGAGCTATCAGTGCTCTCTGGATGACACCTCCTTTCCCCATCACTAATTCTGTATACCCAGAAATGTAATTTTCATGTCTTCCTTTGATACAAATCATTGTTGAATCCCTCATCTAAAGGCAAACGTGCTGATCTTGCTAAAGCATCTCACTGATGTGTATTGTACAAACATCAGCATCTTGTTTCCTTGCTCTGGTGTTGCTTAGSACACTCTCTTGGGAAAGTAAAAAAAACTGGAAAGTACTTTAAAAAAAAAATGAAAGTACTTTACTTTCAAAAGCAACTCTTGCAGGCCAATCTGTATCCAGTGAGAGGGTGGCTGTGGGCACTGCCATTGGAAAAGGAGGTGACTCAGGGAGCAGGTTTTGTCTCTGTTAATAATCTGAAGTATTTTGGTGGCTTTCTCATCCTGGACACACAGGCTTTTCCTTGGGTCTTTTTGTTGTGGTGTTGCCCTAACGAGAAAGATGCAAAACCCCATTCACCAGAGAGAGTGGAACAAAAATGAGAGTTCTTCATTAATAACATTCCCATTTTAAGGTGTGAGTGGGCTGTAGGAGAGAGGGTGTCTCAGCCTGATTTCATGGAGTCTTAGCAGCAAGTTTTAAATTCTAATTTGATTCCCTCATTCAAAGTCTTTATTTTTTTTCTTTCTACCTGAAACTTCATCAGCTTTCACTTGATCATTAGGTCTGCATTCATAAGTATTCTGAGACCATTTTCTCATCAGGGAGTCAGGGGCTGAGAAGTCTCTGACTTGTTCTTTGCAAACAGCAAATTCAGGTAGCAGTGAATTCTTTGGTGGGTGATGCTTTAGAGGAATTTGCATGGGGTCASCCTTTTCTCTGGCATGGGAGGAAAACCTCATAAAAAGGCCAGTAAGACAATATTGGAATGGAAATTTGTGGAAGAACTGAGCAATCAGAATCCTGATTCATATTCTGATATTTTTCTAATGTTTGTTTAAATACCTCTTGTAGAAGTAAACTTTTTTTTTTTTCTTTCTGTCTTTTCTAATGATTTTTTCCCTTGTTCTTTATTGTGCAGCTCTCCATTCCTTTGAAAAACCAAGATGAYCTGGATAAAGCTGTCGATCTCTTAGACCGGAGCTCAAATGTGAAAAGCCTGAGGATATTATTGCTGTCCCAGGACAGGAACCATGTAGGTAACAACTTCTGGCACTGCAGCAAAACAAAGCAAAGTTTACCTTTAAGATTCTGAAGCATGAACTGAGAGTAACAGGGATTATAAAATCACTCTTCCCAAATGTTTATCCTCTTGGCATTGGCTCAGCTATAGGTATCTTTTTGTGTTGTTTTTTGGGGTTTTTTTCCTGACTTCAGCAGCTCTTTGGGGACCAAAACATTGCAGCTTTTTAAGCTGTCACTTGAAAGTCATTTTATATCAAATACCCAGGGGCTGTAAGCAGAAAGCCCTTGATGAGTTTGGTTTGCAGAGAGCTTTTATTGCCTTTGATTAATAGCACAGTGTTGAAAACTCATGGAATTATTTTGCCTTTAGAGCACAGGTTKTCCTTGAAGACACTCTTTTAACACTTTTTTCCTTGAGTGAGAAGCCTGGGGACAGCTCCCAGGGATTTTTCAGATTTTTAGCCCTGATGCATCAAGCCTGGCTCAGTGGAACCAAGTTGCCTCTGCTAATAGTGGTGTACTCACACCTAAGATGAATTGGTTTGTGTCTTGATTCACTCTCCTCTGCTGCAGGTGGCCATGGCAGTGAGTATTGATGTAGTTTGCTTTTTTCAGCAGAAAAGATCATAATAAATCTTTGAATCAAGCTTCCATTTTAGACACTGAATGGACTGCAACCTGAAGAGGGCAAAAAGAGTCAGAATTTTCCCTTCTTCCTGATCTGTGCCTAGAAAACACAGTTATTTTTTTTAATTCAGAATTAAGGTCATGCAGCTTTTCAAGCCAAAGACCTCAATAGCTTAGATATTTGATTTGCAAATTACCACATTYTCCTGAAGAGTGTGACACAAAAAGCTGCTCTGTTGGTAGCAGCTTGTCAGTCTGGAATGCTCATCCCTATTCAAGTTCTGCAGGCTGAGAGCTCAGCTCTTGAAATAATCACACCTGTAATTCTTGGARCTGTCATGATAACCTAAACGTCCTTCTTGCTGTTTTTTTAATTTGATAATCCGTGGTAATGGGTTATATATATATTATTTGGAATAATCCAAAACCTTCAGGAGTGTTCACAGCCCTTTCCCAAATGATTGGGAATGTGTAGGAGGGGATGATGCTGTTCCTTGTCCTGTGCCCTTTCCCTGAGCATTTTTTGCTGCCTGTTCTCAAGACAATTTTTGGCAAGAAGGTTTTTGGTCTGACCTGGTGGAGTCAGAGTTGGTTCTGTGCTGTCAGGAAACAGCCTGTAAAAGATGGTCCCCATTTTTTTAGGTACAACAGTCAATTTTAGATTATTAGTCAATTTTTTTAGATACAGTCAGACAATCCTCTTTCCCAGCCCTCTGTTCATGTCATTGCCTTCAGGCTGCAGCCAGATGTCAAATGATCCCATTTAACTTTGCATAACCACWAAACACTTGGTAAATCTCACCCTGCACCAGCCACTGCTGCTGTTGTCCTTTTATTAGCTGTTTTTTCCTTTTTTACTCAAAGCAGAAACAAACAGCAAAGCTTTCARTAAGTGCCACTGTTTCCCCCTCTCTCCTCCAACTTCCTCTGCCTGACAGGAGAGCCCTCCATGGGATAAAGCCCATAATCCTGAAGGTTTCTTGGCTGCATGATCTCATCCCACTGAGGGAGCGGGAAGCATTATTTTTCCTGAAGTACAGGATGCAGATTTTGTTTTGGTTGTGCTCTTTTCTTTTTCTGGGGATGGAAAGGTGACTTTGGCACAAATACATAGAGAAATTAACTTTACAACAGTATCTGGATGCCTTTTACCAGGAACCCGTGTTTGTGACCAGTATTCAGATTAATTTTCATGTGCTTTTTTTTGTCACTCAAATAATTTTCAGAAGTCAGAATTTATTTCCTCTAGGTGTCTTCAGTTATGTTCTTTTCAATTAAATAGTTAAGATAAATTCTGTAACTCAAGAGGAGGGGAATATTGCACCTTCTTGGAAAACAAGGTGTGTTGGGTCAGGATTAAAATTGAAAGTGTATGTAGGTATAAAATTGAAAGTGTCTGTAGGTTTAAAATTGAAAGTACATGTAGGTATAAAACTGAAAGTGTCTGTAGGTATAAAATTGAAAGTGTCTGTAGGTATTTAGCCCTTCTTTAACACAGCATTTCATTTGACTTGGGGGAAGTTTCACACTTCTCATGCCTCTTCCTGCTTTGAATGAAATGAGGGCTCTGTGGAAAAATTAATTAGATAATATCCATGTAAGTTCAGGGAAGAATGAATAAATTCATCTTGGCATCTCCAGACTATGTTGGTGCTATTAAACACTCCAGAACTGAGTTTTGCTCAGTTAGTCTGAATTGTAAACCTTGCTCTTTTGCTGCCTTTTGTTTTTCTGAATTAATAAGATTTCAGCCTCTAGARCTGTTGCTCAGCACTTTCTCACTACTAAGCATAATATTTTTGAAACTGTGGCCAGGCTGCTTGAGCTCCTTCATCTCATTTATTTGATTATGTTTTATTTTTTCCATTTTACCCAACAGACCAATTCTTCACCCCATTCTGGACTGCCCAAACAAGTCAGGATTAAAACTTCCCAGTCTGTGGGGGATGTGAGCACACCCTACCAGCAGCCAGAACCCAGAAGTAGGCATCTGTCTGTCAGTGAGTATTTTGCCATTTCTGCATGAYTTTATTTGTTGAAATGTATCTTTTGGACACTAGTGTTTATGGTATAGCATTTAGGAGAGCCATGAGGAATTGAAAGGTTATTCTAGGACAAGGCAGTTCATTTTCAARAGCTCTTAATATGTTTACAATAGAATGTTTTAGAGTTCCTTGCTAAGTTGTGGAACAACTGAGGAGCTGCTAAAGGGGATGTCCTAAAGCCAGAGCCATTGTGGTTAGAAATTTGGAAAGCTGACGTGAGTCCATTAAGCTTTTTGTTTAGATTGGCAATTTCAGTTCATGAAACCTAGATTTAAATTTTTTTTTTTTTTTATGTTGGGCTTTGGAATCTGTCCTGACTCCTGTAATCAGGCGTTTTACTAGGAATTACTACTGCATATCCAATCAGTGTCCTATGTTTTGAATTGCCTAAACTTTCACTCTTGGAATTTTCAGGTGATTAGAGCACAAGACAAAATCAGGGATGCACWAAAGATCAGGAAAAAAATCAGAGTAATATGTACCTTTGTCTCATTTCTTTGRGTTTCTGTCAGCTCAGTGAACTCCTGTTTAGGAGAAAGGTCCATGTAAGACCTCTGTAATTTTTATGATTTCCATCTCTGGCAGATTTGTGTGATTTCTCTCAATTTTTATCTTACAACTTTCTGTATAACTGTGGAGCACAATTCAGATCTGTTCTTGAAGGATGCTCAGAGCTGTTATCCTTTAGATGAAAAACTAAAACATCTAAAACACCTTCAAGGATTTATAGGGGGAAAAAAAAGTCTGTGGTTTAGGATTTACTCCTTGGTGTGAAGTGAAAGTGCAGGAGCAAGGTGAGATGGTAAAGGCCAGAGCCTGAAATGCTGCTCTGTGTAAACTATTTCTGCTTCAGAAATGAGAGAAGGGAAATTTTGCTGGGAACGGAAGCACAGGATGGCTCTGTTTGTTACAACAGCTATTTTGGGGCTTGTCAGAGCTGGTGCCTCAGAGGACAGGTGATGCAAGAAGGCAGTACCAGGATTTGGGAGTGTCAGAGTTGTTTTGTTTGCAAGTTTTTCTCTGTGACAAAGGAGTGCTTCACTTTTGTTAACTCTGTAAACTTGGGGCAGAATTATTACATTATTTTAGATCAGTATTTGCAGTGCAAAGTAGCAAATAATAAATCAGATTAAACCACATTAATGTCTTCATTCTGGGTGCACTAAACCAGCCTTGAGTCTTGTTCTGAGCTCAAAGGGAAGAACTTGGGAACAAGACCAAGTGTGGGGCTGGTCTAACAAACCTGCTTGTATCCTGTGCAGTTTACTGATCCCCTTCTGTGCAGTTTGCTTTTCTGAAGCAGCAAACAAAAGTGCTGAAAGCTTGTGAAGTACGTGACTGAAACGGGGACAAAAAGAGTTGTCCCATCTTCCCTAAGTTAATAAGTTAAAAAGAGCAACATTCCTTGGTCCTGAGCAGGCAGTGGTATCCACRCACGTCTGAACGCCGTGTTTCTTTTTCAACAGACAAATTCAATGCCAAAAGTGCTTTATTTAAAATATATCCATATAATTTCTCCTTTATTGGCGTTCTGAGGTATCCAGATAATGGTGCCAAAGCCAACARAGTGTAGTGCATGTCTGTCACGGGTAAACTCTGTAGTAATAAGGGGTGCCTTCTGTACCCCTGTTACACTCTTTCCTCTTATCCCAGCTTATTTCTGAATAACCTGTCATTCATCAGTCAGGAAACCATTGGTTTTATTTTCTGAACATGTCAGACTACCAGACAGTTCATTACAAAGAGCTCCAGAAGTGTTCCAGCTCTSTCAGAGGTCTGCTGGTAATTTGGCAATAGCTCAGTCTCGTATCAATTTCTTCTTCCTTCTCTCTTCCTATATTTGATCTGGAAAAGGAATATGCCCTGTTTGCTGGTTTTTCAGGCATAGAGACTTTCCCACCTCATACCACATCACGCATTTAAAGCCCAAAGCAGTGTTCAACAAAAGCTTTTTGCAAGCAGGAGAGGGACCTGTTTGGTTCCTGTGCTCCAAAGAGCCTCGAGCCTGCTGTCACCAGTTCAGAGCTTTGCAAGAAAAGAAAACTTAAATTGAAAAAAAAAAAAAAAAAAAAAAAAAAAAAAAAAAAAAAAAAAAAGGAAAAAAAATCACTAAGCATTCTGGCAACGCTTGTGTTTTTTCCACTCACTTCCTTTGATATACATGGATTTAGTGCCGACTTCCTTTTCCTGCCCAGGGATGGGGCCTTTCCACAGCAGCAGCTGGGCCRGTGCCAGCGGGCCCTGGGCTCGCTCTGGCCAGCGGAAGGAGTGAAAGTGCTGCRGCCTGGGGCAGCCCCTGCACGCTGTGGGGTTATCCCAGCCCTGTTATCCCAACCCTGTTATCCCACCCCAGTTATCCCAACCCCGTTATCCCACCCCCTGTTATCCCACTGTGGGGTTATCCCAACCCTGTTATCCCAACCCCATTATCCCACTGTGGGGTATTCCCAACCCCGTTATCCCACCCCTGTTATCCCACCCCACTGCAGGGTTATCCCAACCCCATTATCCCACCCCACTCTGGGGTTATCCCAACCCCGTTATCCCACCCCCTGTTATCCCACTGTGGGGTTATCCCAACCCCCATTATCCCACCCTACTGCAGGGTTATGCCACCCCACTGTGGGATCATCCCACCCCACTGCGGGGTTATCCCACCCCCGTTATCCCAACCCCCATTATCCCACCCCCCCCGTTATCCCACCCCACTGTGGGGTTATCCCTGCCTCTCAATGTAGGGTTATCCCACCCCCTCTTATCCCACCCCACTGTGGGATTATCCCAGCCTCCATTATCCAACCCTCCGTTATCCCACCTCACTGCAGGGTTATCCTACCCCCTCACCTCCAAACAGCACAGGAGCCCTGATGGCTGCTGGGGAAATCATCTCTGAGCAGTAGATTGTGCACTTGACAATCTTGGACTTGATGATCTCCAACCTTAATGATCCTACAGTTCCATTAATCCCTTTTTTAATGTTGTTCACCCCCTGTGCACTCTAAGCCAGGCCAGCATGGTTTATTTTCCTTCTGCAGCCCCCTGAAAGGTGCATGCTCTGCTTTTCAACTCTCTCAAAAGTGTGTTCTGCTCTGCTTTTCAACCCTCTCAAACGTGTGTTCTACTCTGCTTTTCAACCCTCTCAAAAGTGTGTTCTACTCTGCTTTTCAACCCTCTCAAAAGTGTGTTCTACTCTGCTTTTCAACCCTCTCAAAGGTGCCTGCTCTGCTTTTCAGTTCGCTTCTCCCATCTCTTTGCCTTCGCTTTTTATTCCAGCAACTTCTATAGGAGAAATATTTTCCTTGGGAGAAGATTTGCTGATCTTTGCCCATCTTCCCTAGCACCTGGGTACACACAGAAAATTAAAAGACAGTGTTTTAAGGAGCACAGCTTGAGAACTGATCTTCACCTGCTGCCTCTGACTTCGTGGGTGACCTCAACAGGGCCACAGCAATTCTTGGAGCTCACAGTGGGAATTGGTGGCAGCTGCAGGTGGATAGATCTCTGCAAAAAGAGGAATTTTTTTTCTTCCTATGTCTTAAGTTTCATCTTGTTTGAGACGAGCAAGGAAGTAATAAACCCTGAGGGTGAAGTTTCTCTCAGTAGCACAAGAGGAACTCTTTAGATAGTGCCATGACTGAGCTGTTTTTCTCATCCTTTGGCCCCTAAACTTACTCTCTGTCCTTTATCTGTCTCATCCTATTAACAGAAATTGCAGGGTTGGCCTCTAAAACAGTGGTTTTGCCCAAACTTAACTGTGCAGTTTGATTTTTCACACAATAAAACGGAAATTTGGGGGTTATTTCCAAAGGTAACAGKGCTCCCGTGGGATACTGAAATTGTTGGGTGTCATGTAACTAGCTTAACTAGTAATGACCATCAGGAATGTAAATTATCCTAATGGATGCAAACGTATAATGAARGCAGAAGATTGGTTGCCGTGATGAGTGTTTTGTTTGGTGGAGATGATGCCCAAAAGCTTGGGATTCCTGGAATCCCATCTTCCCTGAGGTACAGAAATTATGCTCAGGAAGTTGAGCAGAAGAGGTTAGAAATAGTTGTTTCAGCAATAACCTTGTAGCATCTCAAACATCACTATGGGCACTCATCAAACAATTTGATTTTCCTGATTCCGCCTCTGCCCAAACCGCCAGGTTCTCTCTGGAATTACTGCAGCCATGGAGGTTTGGTTTTGGGGAAATGTTTGGGGTTTGTATAGATGCCTCAATCAGCAGTAGGATGAACAATCTGCTCGTTGCAGGTTCCCAGAACACGGGCCGGAGCTCACCCCCGCCTGGCTACGTCCCAGAGCGGCAGCAGCGCATCGCCCGCCAGGGCTCCTACACCAGCATCAACAGCGAGGGAGAGTTCATCCCAGAGACCAACGAGCAGTGTGTGAGTGTCAGTGTGGCTGGAAAACAATCCCACTTGTTAAGGAGCTCTGCTGGGGTCTAGGCACTTTTTTTCTTCCCCMAAYATTCACTGGTTGTGGTTGCATCAGCACATATAAAGTGGCGAGGCACAGCTTGTCTGGAAAGTTATCCCTGTCCACTTCCTCCAAGGACAACCTTGGAGCAYCCTGGTCTAGTGGAAGRTATCCCTGCCCATGGCAGGAATTGGGRTTGCATGATCCTTGAGGTCACTTCCAAYCYAAACCATTCTGGGATTCTAAAAGTGCTTCTTTGTGCATTTGAACAGCTTCAAAGTGTAGCTGGGTAAGTTCAGAACCTTTGTTGGGCTGCCAGAAGCAGCTCCCTGTTCTGGGCATTGCCCCTCCAGCTCTGACTGAGCACTTTTGGTGCTGTCACACTGACAAGGTTTCCTATTACCAGGTTTGTGTGACCCTCTTGCTTTTGAAACTCTGCTCTTCATTCAAAAAAGAGGGAAGTGAGGCCAAAGGGCAACTCACAGGTGGAGGCAGCACCACCAGCACAGACTGTTCCTGGGGTCAGYTGGGATCAAAATGTGGCACAAGGCTGACTAAAACGTGCATTTTTCACAGCAGAGTCCTTCAACAACTAAAGTTCTGCCTCAAATTTGATACAAACTTMATTTTTGTGGGAGATAAAGGAAAAATGTACATTTGAATAGGCTTAGACTCCCTTCTTCAGCTGGACATCCTGCTGGCAAAGCAGTGCTGGGCTCTGCTGCTCTGGCACAGCCTCTCTGGGCCCTGCACTGATGTTGCTGTGTGGTTTTTATGTGTTGTAGATGCTGGACCCTCTAAGCAGTGCTGAAAACTCGGTGTCAGGGAGCTGCCAGTCCTTGGACAGGTGAGCAGACAGGTACAAATGTACAAACCGGTGAGAAGGTGCGGATGGAGGGATGGAAATGCCACTTGTGTTGACACAAAAGCCTGTTTTCCATCTCAGAAATTTCCTTGGAGGGAAACAAAAAGTTATTTCCTACCTATAGCCCACATATTTTTTAAAGAGCATGAACTGTATCTCAAGGCTGTGTTATTTTCTGGCACAACAGACACCAACAAGCTGGTGCTTCAGTGGTATAAATTTTATTTAAGTTATAAATATAAAGTTCTGAAGCAAGCAGCCTGTGTGGAGCCGCCCCTCTGAGAACATCTGGCTGCAGGGTATTTAAATCTCTTTTAGACAAGGCTCTACTTGTTCATTTAAAAAATAAAACAACAAAAAAAAAATACCCCAGAATATGTTAAGGTTACAGAAATGGATCCTTGCACTAAGTTGCTACGTCCTTCAAGATCCAGAATTAATTCCTGAGGTAAACAGAGGGGACTCTTTCTTTGATAAAGGATTTGTTATAGGTTTATGCTCCAGATCTTTTTCTCCTTTTCCTTTGCTGCTGGTGTTGCTTGAGGTGCTGGTGGGCAGCCAGAGATTCTGTTAACTTCAACAACTGTGGCTTCCCAGCACCTGTAATATTGGACTTGAGCATGTTTTTAAGATTCCTCCAAGCTCATTCCTGTAGGTAACATACACTTTTATATCAAGCACTTGAGGTTTGGATTTATAGCCATTCCCTTCCTCCAATTTCTGGAATTACAWGGAAGCACTTACAATTAACTGTGTGTGTATGCATTTATTTACTTGAGGGGACATTGCTGATTTGTTGCGTGTTCCTTTTCTCCATTTTCTCTGCCCTKAATGAAGGAGGAGAGGAAATAAAAAGCCTTCCTGATTATTTGTTGTAGGAGTTGGGCATCATCTGGGGAAGCTGCTGTTCTTTGTGTGATAGGAAAAAAATCTCCCCTGGGAGTCTGGAAATTGCTTGAGGCTGCACCAATTACACTGAGTAACAAAAAGGTGCCAAGAGCATGGTTTTGGCACAGATGGAGTTTGTGTCATCTCTTCAGAGAGGTCAAAGACCTCATGCCCAGTAAGGGGCCAGACTCAGATTTTCTGAAGGAAAAACTGGGGAGAAAAACGAGGGTTGGAAATGGGGCTGTTTGTGTTTAGGCTCATGTGCTGCTGGAGAGAGGAGAGAGCACCCAAATTTCCATGAGAGGAACTCCTGCCCCTCGTGATGAATCAGATGAATCACGGGCAGAGGTCCYCATTCTTTACTGTCCTGCAAGTGGTGCCTTGTTCTGCTTTTCCTCTCAGCCTTGGTTTTACCTTTCCACTTGTAATGTCTGAAGGAATTGCTGATTCCACAGCGATTTCCACTGAGAAAACCACCACAAGTCWGGGGAAACACTGAATAAATGGCTCAAACTGCACAGGGAATACACACATTGGGAAAYAGCCTGCTTGGCTTGGGCTTAGCCTAACTTCAGCTTTGCAAATGCAGCATGAAATCATTGCAGGCACAGGGATTTGAAAATTCAGTGTTCAAATGTATTTTTTGCTTGTATTTAAAGCCCTTCTATGTTTTCCTTTTGTACACAGCAAAACTTATTCTTGCCTTCTTTCTCTAATAGTCCTTCTTTTCGGAAGTCACGRATGTCAAGGGCACAAAGCTTTCCTGATAACAGACAGGAGTTCTCAGGTATGTCTTTGGTACAAAGATTATTTGATCCAGACATTTTCAGCTCCTGGCTGGCCGCCCTCCCAGCTTGCTGGGATTGTATAAATAGAAAAACTGGGGATATGTTGATGGAAAAGATGTGGAGTTATTTATTGCCTCTTCCCAAAAACCTGCTGTTCCAGGGAAATTCTGTTGTTAGAAGTTAAGATTTTATTTTTTTGTTCTTTGAAGGAGCCTCACTTTTGTCTTTGCTTCTCCTTGCAGACCGTGAGAATCAGATCTATGACAAAGCAGGCAAAGGTGGGACCTACCCTCGGCGYTACAACGTCTCCATGCAGCACAAGGACTACAATGATGGTGAGTTGGTCTCAGACCTCCCATTCCAGGCTGGAAAAAGAATCTGAGGCAGTGGCAACCTCCACAGAGAAGTGTAACTCCTAATTGAAGAGCCTGGAAATGCCCTGGTCCTTGCAATTAGTGCTGGGCTTGATGCTGCGTGCATGGTGCCACATTTTCAGGGAAACTCGTGATGATTGTTTGTAATTCTTTGTTTACTTTGTAATTCTTTGCTTACTTCRTCCTTTCTGGGATTATCTAGGCTGGCTAGGGAGTTGTGGACATAATTGTTAGATTTAGAGCAGTTTCCTATCTCAAAGATTCATTATGCTTTGCTAATTTGCATTGCAGACTTGCTKCTGGATCTTTAAATATAGCAGGGGCTTAAAGAATTACATTTCTGCTCGTCAGGATGGCTCGATTTAAATGAATCTCTCAAAATTTCATGAGGTGCAAGTTGGCACAATCTTTGTTTATGGTTTTTATTTGCAAGTCCACACATCTAGAAAGTATTTTTGTGTGTAGTTGTTAACAAGATTCGGAGCTTGTGCTCAGAGCCTGGAAAGCAGATTTTYCCTTTGGAAGGCAAGTTTAGATCTTCCAGCACTGAGGGCATTACAAAGTGTTCTGTGCCTTCTGCTTTGGGAATGATCCAGAGCTGTACTGAGCTGAGGCAGCACCAGCCCTGAGCTGTTATATTTTTTGCATCTCAACTGCTTGGCAGTAGATTCTGCTCCATGGGAACAGAGCAGAACACRGGGTTTTTCTCCTTTCTCCCTGCTGCTCAACCCCCAGCCATCACAGAATCACAGATTCACCAGGGTTGGAAGAGACCTTCAAAATCTTCGAGTCCAACCCCTGCCCTGACACCTCAACTAAATCACAGCACCAATTGCCACATCCAATCTTTTTTTAAACTCATCCAGGGGTGGTGACTCCACCACCTCCCTGGGCAGCCCATTCCAGTGCTTTATCACTCTTTCTGTAAAGAATTTTTTTTCCTAATTTAATAAAATTTAATAAAATACAATAAAATTTAATATAATTTTATTAATTTTAATTTAATAAAATTTAATAAAATTTGATTAATTTTAATTTAATAAAATTGAATAAAAAGAAAGAAATCTTTTTCCTAATACCCAACTTTTCCTAGTATCTAACTTCCCTTGGCGCAGCTTGAGACTCCGTCCGCTCCTTCCACCTGCAATCCTTTATTTGAAACAAATCCCTTTTTCCCCCAGGCCGCAGGACATTCCCCAGGATCMGACGTCACCAAGGGAATCTTTTCACCCTGGTGCCCTCCAGTCGTTCCCTGAGCACCAATGGAGAGAACCTGGGCCTGGCTCTGCAGTACCTGGACCCACGGGGCCGCCTGCGCAGCGCCGACAGCGAGAACGCCCTGGGCGTGCAGGAGAGGAACATTCCCACCAAATGTAGGCACCCACTGGGGAAATGTCTTTGGGATTGTGGGCAGGGAAGGTTTGAAGGAGCTCCAGACCCAGTGCAATGCCATCATCTGGTTTTAACAAGCCAACGTTGCTTTAAGACTTGTTTGTCACACCCGCAAAACTTTTTCTTCTCAGATTTCTTCTTTCTTCTTCTTCTTTCCTTCAGAAAGCACTGCAAATTCAACTAAGCAAAAAAAAAAAATTATCCAGATGATCCTCAGGGTTCTTAAAACAGATGAGCTTGTTTATTTTCTTGCTACCGTAACATTTGCAGTCAGGCTTTTGGGTTGCAGTTATTTTACTAGTTGAAAGCTGGATGTATTGCTCCTTTGTAGAAGAATGTACTTCTGTATTTATAGCATCCCTGAGCTGTTTTGTTGGACAATTTTCTATTATTAAAAAAAAAAAGAAATGGAACATAAATCATTATTGATGGACTTCAGATATCCCATGGAGTTATTTAAGGATCAAAATTAAGCGTTAGGTTGTAGCAGAGTAAGGAGCAMACTAAAATACTGACTGGCAGTAAATCTGATTAAATTAGACATGGCAAAGCTAATCTCTCAGCTCTTCTGTATTTTCACACTGTCCAGATGGCTGGTTCCTGCCTTTGTTTTTAGAGTTTCTTGTTAGATACAATATAATTGGATGCATTGCACTGCAGGATTCTGGTAGTGTTGCTTTCAAATTTGGGGTTAAAGCACTGATGTTTGAGTAACATGCTTTGGGATTAAGGGCAGTCTGGAAAACTGGGCTCAGGTATTAATCTCTGGGTCAGGAGATTGCTGCTTCTGGAATGTGAGGATTCGTAATTCCTCTTTGCCTGGGTCTCGTGGATATTTTTATTATTAAATCTGACTGTTCATCAGGTAAAGAAATACCCATGCTGTGCTAATGTGGCCCCTACTTTATCAATGTCTGGTAGGGAATTACAACTTCTAATCTTTCTGCTTAGAAAGAGCCTTGTAGTGAAATACTTCCCACAGAAGCAACTCCAAGCTAACTTGGCAAAGAAACTCAGAATAATGTCCTTTGAGTTGTCCCAGGAGCTTAAGTCATCCCAGCTGGCTGGGATTGATTTAGCAAAGCTGATCCAGCTCTTCTTCATCTGATGCATGTGGTAACTACAGATCAAGGGTTGGAATCTGCTCTTTAATTGCTGCATCATCCCTTAAGGCAGTGATTTTGTGSAATCCACCTGCTGGTGGAATGAAATCTCCCCAACCCCATGGAATAACTTGTGTGTAAAACACATTTGTGGTGTCTGATTTTGATGGGAGATGCTGAGAGTTTGGATGTTTGSATTCTGTTCAGAGCTCTGCCATTAAGTCTTTATTTTGGAGGAGCAGCTCGTGTTTATTCAACTCCAGAACAGAACACCTGGTTCAATCCCAGTGTGATGGAGATTACTCCTTGAAAAGAGAGCAATTAATGAAAACAATTAATGGAAAGAGAGAATTATTGCTGTTCCTTTCAGCTCCAAGTGCCCCGATAAACTGGCGCCGGGGAAAGCTGCTGGGCCAGGGCGCCTTYGGCCGCGTGTATTTGTGCTACGACGTGGACACGGGCAGAGAACTCGCAGCTAAACAGGTCCAGTTCGACCCAGAGAGCCCTGAAACAAGCAAGGTAACTTATCTCAGCTCCTAAAATCCTCTGAGATCCTGTACAATGTGTCTCTGTCTTGTCCTTGAAAGCTGGTGTCTTATTTAGTTCATACTAAGGTTTCGAGAAGAACAGAAGTCATTTAAAAATTACTCTTCTGTGTTGTTGACTTCAGCCTGAAACTAAAATCCRTTTTCTGGCTTAATTCCTGGCTCTCCCTTCTCTGCTTTTTTGGTTTGTTGCCAGGTTACTTGAGGAATACTAGCCTGCCCTGGTTAGACATGGATGTAAATGAAACTAAACCCAGCAAGAGTAGGGTTTTTTGGGTTTTTTTTTTATTATTTTTTGAACAAAAAAAGCTGCTTGCACATGCAAACCCCATCTCTGGGTTTATATGGTACACACTGTATCAAGTGCATTAATTACAAATTTTCACTTCTGAATTCTCCATGTCCTCAAAACAAATTGAGCTGTGGGATGTAAATTCATCAAGAAGAGGGATGTGACAACACTTTGGGGACAGTGGAGATGGGACAGGCACCTTGGAATCGTGGGACAGCTCAACTCCCTGCACAAGCAGCTGGAATGGCTTTTGGGTTCTTTGCTAGTGGWTTTTAACAATGTACCAGTTTCCCAATATTGAGCAAATTCACTTTGAGCTAGAACAACTGATCCATGAAGATTTAATTAYTCTGATTTTATAGGGGATATCGGTGCCAGGATATGTCCTAAATTGGGAAGTTCTACCGTGYCTCTGTTGTAAATCAGACAGTCACTCTGAGCCAAGAAAGAACAGGCTGGAATATATTTTGAAGGCACTGAAATTGCAAACCTTAAACTATTATTTGGTTTGATCAGGCAGCTTCCTCTGGTTCCATGTATCCCTGCAACATCCAGGTTCTTGCTCTAAGATTCTTTATCCTTTCCCAGAGTGAGAGAGCTGAACCTGACACCTTCAGGGCTAGAAAGAGTTAAGTGGGACTAATCCAGGAGAAAACATTGTTCCTTTTTCCATAAATCCTCATGCTTTGGTACCTTTGATGTTCCTCCTGTTCAATCCCTGGATTCAGCAAAAACCTGATACTTTTTCTGGGCAATAAACATCTGTGATTCCATCTGAAATTGTTGGATAACCTCTTTGCACTGTGATACCTTGTTGTCTGTGGCAAGAGCAAAGCAAAGAATTAGCTTCATGTGCAGAGCTGCAGATTCTTTGAATTAAATAGGAAAGGAAGCAGTTTGTAGGGTTGATTCCAGTAAATCATCTGAATCAGAACAGGACTGGCTGACAGTCTGCACCTGCAGTTTTGCTTTTTAATGGTTGAGATTCCAGATCTCTAACTGGATTCAGAGCTGTTTCATAGTTAACACTCCCTGCCCTCAGCTTAGTGAGGTACACCTGAATTATGGGTGAAGAATCCTTTCAGCTAAAACCATGCAGCTGAAAGAATCAAGGCAAGAAACAAAGTTTTTCTGGTTCTAAATCCAATATAGGATACTGCTTGTGTTCCATCAAAGCTTCCACACCAATATTTACCTGCTGATAATAAAGGGTATTATCATAATAATTATTATAATCATAATGAAGGGGAGGCACTGKTAATGTTTGCCTTTTCCAAGAAGCAGATAAATGATAAACCAACCCCATGGATTGCACTTTTCAGCGCAGGCATATTCTTTTTTATACTTCTTATTTTATATTTCCTGGGGCTGCAAATTCTCTTCTTCCCATCCATAGGAAGTGAGTGCTCTGGAGTGTGAAATTCAGCTGCTGAAGAATCTCCAGCACGAGCGCATTGTGCAGTATTACGGCTGCTTACGGGACCGAGCAGAAAAGACCTTGACCATCTTCATGGAGTACATGCCAGGGGTAAGAGCAGC